CCCCCGAAATCATTTATTAAAAGTATAGTACATGCCAGGTGGTACATTAGTGTGACAGGGTTGCCATAACAAAACTCCATACACCAGTGGCTGTGAAACAACAGAAATTAGTTTTCTCACAGTGCTAGAGGCTGTAAGTCCAAGAACTAGGTGCCAGCAGGATTAGTTTCCTTTAAGGCTTTTCTTTTTGACTTACAAATGCCTCCTAAGTGCTTCTCCACAAGACAACCTTTTCATGTACCTGGTGTCTCTTTGGGGGTCCAGATTTTCTCACCTTAACAAAGATACCAGAGAGATTAGGGCCCACCTAATGTTCTCCTTTTAACTTAATCTCCTCTTTCAAGGCCCTATCTCAAACATAGTGATATTTTGAGATACTAGTTGTTAGGGCTTTAATATATGTACTTTGGAGGGACAAGATTCAGTCCATAATAAAATATCACCTCATTTAACCATTGTGGTTTTATGAATTGGTGAGGCTCTAAGAAAAAAAAAATAATGCATCAGACGTCACATAGCAAGTAAATGATTCAAGCAAAATTTTAACCAAGGCCTCGTTAGCACCAAAAATGATGCTTTTTCTGCTATTCACACTTATTCAAAGAAATTCAAAGCTAGTTGGGAATATTGGGTACTAACTGATAAAATTTTAAATAAGGGGGCTATGGATACAGAGGCATTTACTCACTGGGCCTGTGTCATTATATTGAAAGAATGGATTCAGCATTAATAGCCATTTATAGAACATTATTACAATATGTCTACTGGTCACCTCATATAAAGAGCTACTGACTGATAAACAGGACCAGTCTTGGTACATCTTGGTACAAAGCCTAAAATAATCCTAAATCAATGTCAAATGCAAGACTGCTTTTTAGAATAAGTATCTTAAACATGGCTACTTTTATGTTTCTTTTCTTCTGCATTTGAGTGTAGATTATATGCAGGGATATATGCATGAAGTCCTTAATCTGCTTTATAATTTTTCACCCCTCTGGCAATCTACACAATCTTCTCTATAGCATCTCTGGATGAAAGCCCCAAGTCCTATGCTCTGCCTTTGGAATTCCACTTGCACTTTCAGAAATGAGTATTAGGCTAGACTGTAGACAGGCTGGCACCCACTCAGCTCTAGCATGACCATGTACTGTCCTTTAAAGTTTGTTAAAAGTACCTTCTTACTTTATGTTTTACTCTCTAACTACATTTTTTTATGGATTCATATTCTGTGTTCAACAGTTAACTGTATAATTAATAAAGTAAATCATTTATATTTCCAGATTACACTATGATGTTTCCAAAGAAGACAACTCTGCGTATGCATACTAGGGACCCAGGCACATGACTTAAAGCCTCGTAAGCAATCCTTACACAACAGTTATTGGATGAGGCCTATATACTGGAATGTTCCATTAAGAATGCAAACTTCACAAAGCGAAGCACAATGCAAATGTATGTATAGTATATACATAATACATATATAAAAATGTATCTGTTATTATAGCATCTTTAGTAATTTTATATGTAAAACAGTGAACAAAATCAAATTCACTGCCTGAGAAGTATCTGCTTTCCCTAGAATGAAAATATGTTGAGTATCCCTAATCCAAAAATAAAAAATCCAAAATGCTCCAAAATCTGAAGCTTTTATAAATGCCCCAAATGGAAAATTCCACATCTGACCTTATTTAATGGGTTAAAACACAGGTACACTAAGAATATTGTACAAAATTATTTTTAGGCCAGTATACAAGGTGGATATAAAACAAGAGGAATTTCATGTGTAGACTGGGATCCTTCCCTAAGATAACTCAATATTTACACATGAAAATATCCCCAAATGGAAAAATAACAAATAAATAAAAACAAATTCATAAGTCCAAAATACTTTTGTTCCTAAACATTTTTGGTAAGAGATACTCAAACTGTGCTAACCTTAACATTTACAAATAAAGTTCTAGGAAGCCCAGTGTTCATTAAATGCATTATTCTCCATTCTATGAAGTTCTATTTTGAACTCCATCATCTGCAACTGTTTACTGTGGCAAGATAATTGGCAAGAACCATTGTACTGTGGTTTTTCTTTTATGTACAACTAAAAAAAGCAAAATATCAACTAACTAGTAATGAGGCATTATGATTAAATTTCTGGTTAACTGAGAGCTGACACAACAATAATTTTTGCTTCAATTATTGTTGAAATCTTTTCAGTGATTTTAGATTGTTGTGTTCCTCTGCATGCAGCAGAGAATTTTTTTTTGAAATCCAAACACTTTTGATAATGCTTACTTGGTCTCATGCTTTATGCAGGCAGAGGGAAGCTATCTATCTAGCAGTGCTAAGAGAATTTGAATAGGGAAGCTATAAAGCTTTCTCAGTGTGGTAAAAATTTATTGACCTTTTACTATATGTATAGTTCTTGCCAATTATTACAGGGGTTTCAAAAGCCTCCACCAGAAGCTTGGCATAAATTGTAGAAATCCATTACTTTGTTTTCTGAGGTAAATTCTATGAATATTAATTACATCATTTTAAAATAACAAGTACACAAGCATATTTCAAATTTTGATCTGATTTTTAACATTATTCATCCTGCTTTTTTCCTAGATTATGAATATCAAACAGCATTCTTATGGATAACTGGAATTCACTTGTGATTTTTTTTTTCAAACTGTCTCAATTGAGTCAAGTGCATGAAAACATGGAACAGTAAATCAGAACTGGGTGGGGGATGAGTGAGCAGATAAGTATAAACATGGCTTAAAAATGAAGTAGAATATTTTCATGTGCTTTTAGTTTCAGTATTTAATGTTTTGAAATTCTAAGTAATATTAAAGTAAGAGCTGCTGGAATAAAAGAGGTTGAGGAACAATAGTGTGATGCAGTTTCAATAAAACTCAAGAATTTAGAGAATTTGTTGTCTCCAGACAAAAGTATATATAGAAGACATTTGATAAATGTCTTGAGTAGAAACATTATCCATTAGCCTAACATGTACCTAATTCAACAAATACACATGTAGATAATGGCGATGCCCTTAGAATGCAGTGCCTAGAAACTGAAGAGCGTGACTGTCTAAACTCTGAGTGGAAAAGTAAGCTTGTAAATCAGCACAGTAAGACAGTGTACAACTTTGAACACATATATTTTTATTCTATATTCTGTGTTAATAGCTGATAATTACCTTTGCAAACTTTCATAGATCTATTTATTACCACCCCCCCATCTCTACCTTCTAGTGCCTTCCACACAATAAACAAAACTGGAGATACATGCTCAGTGTGAGAACTCCTGTGACCCCTCAATTCCTTTTTTTCCTCAAGCACGGTATCCAAAGACAACTATCATTTACAATATAGACTTTGATTTTCAGTTGTAGGACCACATTACTCCATGACATTTTCACAGGGTATGTACTTACTTCCCTGTTGGTCTGTAGATCACTGATTAGGTCCAAATCAATCAGCTGGGGATGGATTGAAAGAATATGTACTGTATAGGCCCTCCTAACCCAGTGACTCTACATACATGCATGAGGGATCTCCTGCAGTCCAAGAAATAAATACCTACCTCTAGCTTCAAAACATCATGCTGAAGTTTACGCTGAAATTCAAGGAAGTTTTTGATGGTCAGTTTCCCCTTGAGATCAGCTCCAAAAAAATAGGTTGTGAGGGCTGAACATAACCCAGACTTGAGGGTGTTACCAGTAGTAGGACGATCTCTGTGACGCATACCCATGCTGGTTTGAGAGCGAATGATGCTCTGAACCTAAAGCAGAATCAAACCCGCACCCCAGAAAAACATCATGAAAGTGGGAAAGCATAGAAAAGAATAAGTATTATTTATTCTGTGCCTGTACCAGTCAACCATTATCTTTTTTAATATTTTTTTTTTCGTTTTTTTAGGTGGACATAATATCTTTATTTTTATGTGGTGCTGAGGATTGAACCCAGTGCCTCAGGCATGCCAGACGAATGTGCTACCACTTGAGCCACATCCCCAACCCCAACCATTATCTCTTTTAATGCATAACAACAATCTTGTGGGGCAAGGTCTACTATTATCCTTCTTTGATACATGAGGAGATTGAGGTCCAGAGACTTGTATTCAATCTCACTTGTTCAATGTCAAGTGGCTAGCAAGTAGCAGAACCCAAAATCTAACACATACTGCCTGACACCTTTATAATTGGGATGTTCTCAGAAAAATTTCCCTCCAGAAAAAAATATTTGTTTTGGGGGGACTCACTCACACAAACAGGACAGTCATAAACTTCAAAACTGTGTCTTCCACATTTCAGATGACTTTTCCTCCCCTTTCTTCTCCTCCTCCTCCTCTCCCTCTCATTCCTTCTTTTTTTTTTTTTCATACTTGGGTTTGAACCCACGGACCCTCCACCACTGAGCCACATCCCCAGCTCTTTTTATTTTTTTAAATTTTGAGACAGGGTCTTGCTAAATTGCTGAGGCTAGCCTTGAACTTGGGATCCTCCTGTCTCAGCCTCCCAAATTATGGGATTACAAGTATAAGCCATTGTACCTGGCAAATTCTTAACATCTAAGAAAACACATTTATTACAATGATACATAAAACACAAAGGTGGTATGAAATAATACTCTAAGAAGACATGGGAAATTTGTTCAATCTTTGAGAAACAATAATTCTTGGGACCACAAACAGTGGCCTACCTATGTAAATGAATTTTTAAAGGCAAGTCTATAGACTTATGCAGTGGCACACACTTCTAATCCCAGCAATTTGGGAGGCTGAGGCAGGAGTATTCCAAGTCAGAGGCCAGCCTCAGCAACTTGAAGAGTAAAAATAAAAATTAAAAAGGGCTTGAGATGTAGCTCATTGGTAGAGCATTAATAAAACTCAAGAATTTAAAAATTTTTTTGTCTTCAAATGAAAGTACATATAGAAGGCATTTGATGAATGTCTTGAGTAGAAACATTAGCCGTTAGCCTCACACATACCTAATTTAACAAATATACATGCAAATAATGGTAATGCCCTTAAAATGTGGGCAATATTCCTTATATTTACAGGACTGGTATAAGGATGAGAGATAATGTATGTAATGTATGTAAATTATCAACAAACAACAGCCGTTATTACCATTTTGATTAGACATTTAATCATAATATACAGATTTAAACATAAATCCATCACTACTTTTAGACTTAAAAAAATTAAAGATTACTTTTAAATCCTTTATTAAACCTAGTCCACATGAAAATGTGTTTTATATGTTAATGTACTTATTGCCTCTTTTTTTTTTCTTTTTTGTGATGCTAGGGATTGAACCAAGGGTTTGTACATCTAGGCTAGTACTCTACCACTGAAGTATAATTCCCAGCACTAAATAACAATGTATTTAAGGAACTTGCAAGAACAACTTGCCTGCTCAAACTCCTCCATGTCTACTTCTCCATCTCCATTTAAGTCAAACATCTTGAAGGCAATTTCAAAATTTCTTTGAGGAGCTGCAAGAAAAGCAGAAAGGGAGACAGGAGGGAGGAAAAATATATTTAGAAGGCATTGATTAAAAAAATCATTTAAGAAAAACAAATGGTTAAATACTGAAATATAACACCCATGTCAGAAAATGACACAGAGGCTCTGGAGGCTGAGGCAGGAGGATCATAAGTTCAAAGCCAGTCTCAGCAACTTATTGAGGCTCTAAGCAACTCAGTGAGACCCTATCTCTAAATTAAAAAAAAATAAAAATTAAAAATAAAAAAAGCTGGAGATGTGGCTCAGTGATTAAGTGCCCCTGGGTTCAATCCCTAGCACCAGGAAAAAAAAAAAAAAAGTGACACAGAGTTTATTTAGGTCTACCTTTCAGTAATACTCCTTAAAACTAAAAAGAGTTACTGCAGCCAGTAAAGACAGTAATTGCCTATCTTTGTTTCAATGCTTTTTCTTAAATACTTCACCTTTGCTTTTTAGACACCAACCTCTTAGCTGTACAACATTCCAATTTTTTCTTTTAGATGCTGTGGGATGAAATCAGGGCTTCATGCTTGCTAGGCACATACTCTACCACTGAAGCTATATATTGTTATTGCTTAGTTGCTTAAATTGAGTATTATTTATTTAGGCAAGAAAATCTGTCTAGGGTGAGACACACTGCCACAAAGCAAGAAGCTTTCAGTCTAAGTCTTTGTTTTGTCTTTAAAACAAACTAACTTTCTAGTCCCTCCATTTTAAGTACAACCAGGAGTTCTGTACATATTATTCTGACAACAAGGATGTCAAACTGTTTTCTTATACTAGTTTACTCATTGCCACTATAGTTGTGGTAGGGCAGAACAGCATACTGAAAACAATCGTATGGGTGTATACACAAATTACCGAGTAAAGTATCTTTAAATGTTAAAATTAACCTAAAGTTCAAAACACAAAATAAAAACATGCGAAACCTGACAAGATAGAATATATTTTCTTTCCATTAAGTGAATGATGAAAACTTTTCAATAATTCTTTAGTGTTCTGGGATCAGTCAAAATAAAATTAATATACTTTCTGCACTTCAATAAAACAAATTTAACAGTCTTCCTCCCTTACCATGCTAAATGTTCTAGTGAATAAAACTAAGTTGTTGACATCCTTACTTTGGTGCTTCCAGTTTGTATAGCTTAAGAGAATAAGCCAAAATAAATAACCTATATATCCTAATACCATTAAATTAAAATTTCAGTTAATATTATTTTTACTAAAAAATGTAAAGATTAGATATGGACAAAAAAAGATGAATGACCTTTGTGTGTTACGCATGGTTATAGAACATCCATATACCTATCTGGCTTATGAATTTCTCAATAGTATCTTCAGGGTTTAAATTTCATTTTTATATGGCTAGACAGCTGGGCTGGTAAGTTCCTGGTTTTAGTTGCCTAAGTGAAACATGTTGTCTGTCAGCTTTATTTTCTGTTGGCTTCCAATAGATTTGTTCTACTTTGGACCACAACTACAACTACAATTGCTAGAAAGGATACAGCTGAGAGAATAAAATTTTTGTCTATTTATTGCCACTTCTCAAAATTTTCCTACCTTTATAAAAATAATCTGTTAATGAGACGTTACTATGTGCCAAGCATTGAGCTAGAAAATTCCAACCTGTTTATCATGAGATTTTGTACTACTTTCAATCCTGAAAGTTTTTATTTCTTTATTTTTTAAATGGGGGAAAGTGAGGCTCAAAGCAGTTAAATGATTGGCTTAAAATCACACAGATAAAATGTGGAAGAAATGGGAATGGGACTTAGAACAATAGTGACTCCAAAGCCTACAAAAACATCTCATTATACTCCTTGACCTCTGACACAAATACAGAAATCTTATATATGTAGATATGTACACTCTTTATATTTTTTGACCTACAAAAACAACAATAAAACATGACTGTTTGCATCAGTCTCTGCAAAAGCTGAGAGTTCCAAGTTGTTTATCAAAAGGAGATGATTGATATCAAAGAAGCACACCATATCATGCTCACTAATTGGCTATCCTAATTGGAGACCCATAGACAACATTAGACTCTCAGATAGGTTTGTCATGTCTTTCAAAATTCTGAATATGAATCTCTTTATCAGAGTATACTCGCCTATTCTTTCCTAAGTCTCACACTTGGCTCACTTCACTCATATATATTATGTGCCTAAACTCTGCAGATATTTGCCATTTTAACAGCAGAAAATATAAACCCACTGAAGGTTCTAGATAGGATAGTGACATAATGAGGCCTTTATAAAGGACTTCTCTGACTACCTGTGAAGGATGAGTTGGAAAAGAAGGACCAGTTTCAGTGAAGATTACAGAAGCTCTTGCAAATGCTAAAATGTGAACTGAGATGATGGTGGTGGTAATGGAGAGGAATTTTGAAACAAATTTGAAATATCTTAAGAAGGCAGAAATTATATAACTTAATGATTAGTTAGCTGTGATGGGTTGAGGGTGAAAAGGGATGACAGCATAACTGGCTAAGATACTGAGTAGCTTGCATGTCATTTATCAAGAAATAAAACAGAGGTAAAATGTCTGAAAAATATAATAGTTCAGATGGGATCTGCTGAATTCAAGGGGTCCACAGCATATTCAGATGGAGATGTTCAGGAGATGAAAGAAATATGAATCGAAGGTTAAAGAAAGAGAGTAAAGATGGAAGTTACTGACATATATATGGTTAGCTGTGAACAACCTGACATGAAGTTACCCAAAGAGAACTGAGAGGTAAGGAAAGGGTAAAATGCAAGCAGAAGCCAATACTTCAGGTGCAGGGAAGAGGAAAAGCAGTGAAATGGCATGACAACACCAGGAGGAATACAGTTTAAGTTAACAGAAACAGAAAAAATATATATCACTGAGAACCAGGTCAAAATGTTCCCATATAGGAATTAAAGCAGCATTCACATAACTTATCTCCGCTGATGACACAGGATATGCAGAATGTTTAAAATCTGAGCTTAAACCAGGTGTGGGGGGCTTATGCCTGTAATCCTAGCAGCTCCAGGGACTGAGGCAGGAGAATCACAAGTTCAAAGCCAGTCTCAGCAATTTAGCAAGGCCCTAAACAATTTAGCAAGACCTGTTTTAAAAAGTAAAAAGGGCTAGGGATGTGATAAAGTGGTTTAATGTCCCTGGGTTCAATTCCCAGTACCAAAACCAAAAAATAAATAAACAAACTTTGAGCTTATCATAATCTTTTATGTCTATTGTCCTGCAAGTTCCAGGAGGCATGTGCCCAAATCATTTAAATGACTTGGTCATTCTAGCAAATCACAGTTATTACTTCCTTCTATAACTAAGGTTAAATGAATTTTACTGAAAAAAACACACCTTGTACTGCCTGATATTTCTCTTTTTAGTTTCTTGTAGATTGTGTGCTGTATGAGGAGTTACTCTTAAGTGCTTATTATAGTAATGGGAGGACCATCTAGAGGCTGTGCTCCTGTGCTCTGGTCTCTGCTGAGGCAAGCTGGACAGCAATCCTGAATATTCTCATTAAGGTCTCACCAGTCTATGAGGAGGGAAGGTCCTTCCAGAAGGTGGTCCCTCACAGCATATTCAATCTTCACTTCCTGATCACATCAAAGCAGAGGAGACAAACAAGACCAAAACCAGCTTGTCTGAAGTGAAATACACTACACAGAAGATAATTTTGGATAATTCTCTTGTAAATGTCCCTGTTTACTTTTAAATGTAGGTTTCAGGATAATTTTTAAATCTAATTATTTTGGAAATCTGAAGGTATTATGGATTTATGTGAACTCATAAAAGTTCTGAAAAATTCTTAATTCTGGGGTACTTATGGAGTGAACAGTGAGGCCTCCTCCTGCTAAAAATAGTATTTGGAAAGCCACATAATTTCCAAATGGTCTTACCATATATAGGAAATGATTAAAATTTACATCATAATTTTTGCTACTAGGATGCAGAGCTACATTAGGTCTGTTCTGTTAAGAGTCCATTTTTACAATATTATCTACCCATTAACAACAATACCTCTGAATTTCCCTGAGACACAATTTTTCTACTTTGCTTTAGTAATAAGAAAAAAAAAAAGCATCTTTTTCTATGTGTAGTTAAGTCAAATAATCAGACAGCAACAACAGAAGCTGTCCTGAAACTTTTAGGTCTCTTTTACTAGTTGTCATTTAATAGAAAATGCACAGGGCTAGAACTCTAATTCTGGCTCTTCCAACAATATAACGAGTCATTTGCTGCTTTAAATTCTTTTCTGACAGTACCGACAGAATGATGAAAAAATGAATAGATTACATTTTAAACAAGGTTTTCATTTTCTGTTGGTTTGATTCTTTAACCAAAAACTCTACTTGTATTCATCCCTGTTTTAAAATGCTGCTGTTGGATAAATGAAGTCATTAACATGCAGCAACAGAGAATTCTGAATTAGGAAAAACTTTAGATTACAATCCTCCATTCAATGATTTGACTATTCTACTGATCTTACAAGGGTGATCACACAGTCTGATCATTTCACACATAAGTCACCACTTAAGACTTAAGCACTGTTGACAATATTAAATAAGCAGAGCCTAAACCTACTCTTTGTAGTGCCTACAAATTGTAATAGTTTAATTTTCTAGAGAAAAATACCGCATAGCAAAATACTGCTTTGTTCCCAACAAATAAATACAAACTATTATCATGTCTCTACTACTAAGTCTTCTCAGAATCTGATTCCAGATCAACATACTAACAACCCTCCTCTGAGATATTTTACATCTACTTCTACTACTACTACTACTATTACCTTTTCTTCCTCCTCCTTCTCTTTCTCCCCTTCTTCTTGTGGCACTGGAGATTTAACTCAGGGCCTACCACATGCTAGGCAAGCATTCTACCACTGAGTTACATCACCAGTCCCTCTGGGGCACCTTAAATGGTCAATGCCTTCTCTAAGTGAAATAGCCTAGATAGAGTTAACTCTGGACATAATGTGCTTTCTAGAACAGGACTG